CAGTGCTTAGTCGCTCATTTCTTTAGTAAAGCTGAGCTATCATTTTGCATCAGTAGCAGAACATTAGTTTCTCAGAGAAGCTGAGACAATTATTTGATTTAAATTTCTATACTGAACATTTGTTGTTGTAGTTCTACTATTACTATAATTCTGTCCTTAAGTTTATACACAAATAATAGTGAATGTAAATGGGAGCATGAGATCAGTAATGGCTCTTAAGCCATGATTTTCAACAACTCTAACTTCAAAGATAGCTTTGAAGACCTGTTATTATGGAAGTATATGAAGAAAGCAAAGACAGAAGGTTAGGTGCTTTTTTTCTGATATAAATGTAGAAACATACAGTCCTTGTATAGTGATGCTCAGGTATGCTTTTCAAGTTCTGACAGGATCACAGGATCATTTGTATTATAGTAACTTTTGCTAGAAATGTCCTATCATTCTTCTTGACCTGCTTGTTCTTCCAAAAACTCACATTCGTAAGTAATTTATGAATATAGTAACCTTTTTCAAAACTAGAAAAGTCTTTCTGCGGTTAAAACTATCTACAGTTGAATGACTGAAATGGGATTTTTTAAGAATTATTTGTATCATTTTGGACATCTGTTTTCAAATAGATTAGCTACGACAACAGGAGAATGTGACAGAACCGGGACTTAATGTTATCAATCAACCAGCCAAGAAAACTAGGAGGAACATCCAGTGTGTAGTCATTGAAGTGGCTTGATAAGAAGATATGGTCCCCTCTTACGGAGGGACCTCCTGGTTTTCTGTAGATCATAAACCATACAGTCTACGAATGAGCATCCAGTTAACATTCCTCTGGCTGTAGCTGACTTTCCTCCTAACATTTGAAAGCCCAAATCAGGGCTATTATGCAAGACAGACCTGTTCTCTCACATTTCTCATCATATTGCCTAAATACCATATTATGTATTTAGAGAATGTTATGTGACTAGAATCCTTTTTTCTTCTTTTGGCGGGGCGGGGGTGGGGGGGAGCGGGAAGCTATGCTTTTGGAGTTGAGCACAAAACTGGTAGTGAAATAGCAAGGGTGGGCAGTATAGTGCATCAGACATTTGAGAACCTACAGGGTCAAACCAAGACTGAACCTAAGCAAGAAGGACAAGAAACTTAAGTAATCCAGTTTTGCCTTACTCTACCCCTTACAGTGAACTGACAAAGACTTAATTCTTGAAGAGATGGGACATGGAAGAAGATGCCCTTTTCCTTTTTTTACCAACATCTCTTCCTCCTCAGCAAAATACTTTCCTGTGATCACTGAAATCCTTGTTTCCAAGTTTCTGATTCTGACAGTATTATTACCTGCACTAGTCACGACTGCCCTTTGACTATCTTATGCATAATAAAAAAACCTGATTATCAAAGGTTTTCTTATCTGCTGCAGTTCCTAAGCCAGACGCACAATTCCAACGCAATGACAGCAGAAGCAGTGGATAAATGTCTGTCCTGGCAGTCCTCTCCTCTCTAAGACTGAACTCCTCGGGGCATCAGAGTCCAGCAGATTTCTCCCCACCCTCCCACGGCTGTGGTGAACAGCTTGTGTGTGTACTCACAGAGAACACGATGGATGATGAATCTCTGAGCCAGGGATTACCAAGGCCTTTCACGAAGGAAATCTAAGGGCTAATATTTCTCCCTTAAATTCAATGCGATTACTAATGGATACTAACTAAAACCTAAGATTCAATGTGAAATGTGATATAAACAAGTGAAGAACATGTTGAAAGAAGATAAACAGTGCCTTTCAGTGCACTACTTTGTATAAACCTAAGTGTGTGTATTTAATATTTAATAGCTCATCATGAACTATAAACCACTGAACCAATAAATTAGTCTTTTGTGCAGTATTTGCAATGCCTTTCTGAAGTCCAATTATGAAAGTGCTTTCCCTTCCCAATTAATCTGGGTTGTTACTTTCTTAAAAGTTGAGATACTTTATGCATGGTTTCCCTTTTGTAAAACCAAGCTGAATATCTAAGCAGTAAAACACAACGGATTATGCAGCGGTATAAATAATGCAGATCTTGAGTGTTAATTGAAGCACGAGGCAAGGCAGAGTCATGGCCTGAACTTTCAATTGCTGCTTGCCAAAGTAATTCTAATTGACCTCAACGGGACTGTGCATGTGAGTTCAAATTACTCCTGTGAGTAAACATTCAGAGGTTAGGTCCTTATCACTCCAGCATGTCTGAAGCAGCTTTCTTTTCAGACATGCTGGAGTTTTTCTTTTAAGTGTCATTGTTGAAGAAAATTAATTAAAATACTTCAAAGAAACCCAAAATCTTCCTTTAAAAATATCTTTTGACTCTGATTAATATAAGCTGGAACAAAATTTACACCCCTGCAATTTTTTTTTCATAGGTGCTTAAGATACTACATTTTTTTTTTATTCTTCCTTTTTCCCTATTGGTATTTAAGCCTCACCCTTTGACTGAGATACGGACGAATGGTTCTTTTTTCAACATTCCCCCTTCCTTGTCTGACTCTATTATGGAAAAACAAAACCGGAAGAATTAAGCATCTCCCAGTTGTGCTTTCCAATAGAAAATTAAAGTATTGCAAACAGATTACTGGGCCACAGGAGGCACATTGTGGGATATATGATGACAGCAGGGCTTTGAAATTCAAATGTAGCTCTTTTTCTTTGAAATCCTGCCGTGGGTGTAGCTCTCTCAGCACTGCCCTGAAGCTGAAACAGCTGCTTTAGTTTCCTTTTACAGTGCTTTACTAATCATTCAGTTGGAAGAAGAGGGGCTCAATTCTGTAAGTTAGTAACAAGTGAACAAAAAGGCACACTGTACTTGGTAGTTTCCAGACCAGCTTTTGATAACTCAGAATAATATAAAATCACAAGAATCTTAAGAACTGCACTTTCTGTGATCGCGATGCTTCTCTTTCTTAGATGCCCTGACAGACTCAGTGTACTGGAGCATCCAATCAATTTGCACTTAAATATTTAAGGTGGATAAAACTTCAGCTTTTCTCAGCAATGAAAGTGACATTTAACATAAGGCTGAGCTACCCAGTTATTTATTTCCTGAGTTCTTTTCTTTTTTTTTTTCCTACTGAAGTTGAGTGGCTAATTTAATTAAAGTCTCTTAATTTTAACTGAGTTCCCTTCAATACAACTCTGTGTACTGACTCCTCAAGGCCAGCGAGTCAATATATGCTGCCCTTGTATTTGGGAAATTAATTTGGTGGCACCCTGCAGCTGCTTCTGAAAACTCTCTGTTTCTTAACGTTTTACTGCTATCCTGCAAGAATGCAGAACACATCATTGCTTTTCTGGAAAATGTACTTGTCTGTCATTTGAACAGCGTGTCCCACAGCTTTGACAAGGAAGCAGTGCGAGGCAAAGGCAAATCTCATAGCCAGGTGAAAAAGATTTTACTAGTCAGGAGGCCTGAAAAGAAGAGTTAAACTATCAGGACAGCAGGATAAAAATCTCCTCAAAACAATCCAAAAAAAGATAATGGTAACTATATAGAAAATAGTAAGGAAGATGAGACCACCAAAAACCCAGAAAGGAAAGAGCAGGACAGGGTACCAAACTTTGATTATAAGGCGTGCATTATGATATATTTACGTACAATATATACAATACAAAATTACATTGATATTTTCCCGTTTTCCTGTAATACCATTGTTTGATGAGGCGGTTAATGTCAGCTTACATAACTTATTTAACCAATGGAAACTTCGCATTTTCAATCTCAGGCTAGAGATCTCAACTTACATTTAATTAGGATTCCTGAAACAGGTTCTTTACTAAATATTTCTATCTGTTTCAATATATACCCTTACTTTTTGCCCCAAAGTTGCGTATTTTTCCCTCCAGCTCAGTTTACTCTCTCATATCCCAAATATTTTGGATATTTCTAATGAGGGTTCTCGTTTACCTGTTGCTATTTCCCAGATTCTCACTGTAGAGAATCCTCCTCCATGTCCCAAACTCCGTGACATTTACTTCATAAACAGACTTAAACATCTGAAACTCCTGAAAGTTACACTGTCATAGTTTCAATAGGTCAGCACAGACCAATATTTTAGAGCGCATTATCTCTCATGAGTCAACAGGGTAGATTGTCTGTTTTTATAAGATCGTTTTGTGAAAGAGGAAGGATAAAGGTAGAAGAACCAAGTGTGATTTTACGGTACAGCCTATGCTGAGTGCAAACCCAACTGCCAACACACTGCAGTGTCCTCCAGCAAGTTCTCCCCAAGTAAAGTTGTGCTATATATAGCAGCTACGTGGTGTCTGTCATACAGCATTGCCAGTCATAACACTGCAACAATTAAGTGACTCAATCACCAATTCAGGGTTGTTTTTCTTACCCATGCACACAGAAACAGCTGTTTCACTGCCTTAGGGGTTCCTTTTCTTTGACACCTACTTGGCACAAGCTGTTTGCCAAGCACTTGCTGACGCATTCAGTCAGTTTTGCTGCTGCTGCTTTTTCGTGCTGAAGCCTGGAAGGCTCAAACATACTCTAAGCTGCAAATCCTGCAAAAGTGCTATGTACGTCCACAGATGTGAGGACTTGACTTTTTATGTCACCTTTACGATTCCTAGACAAAACTAGCGTTGCAGTAGGGGGGCAAAGGAGAGATCTAGCAAACACGACTGCCATGGCAACACAATGGTAAAAATTACACCCAGCAATATCCCTGGAAAAGGGGCATGGTGCAGCTTTGTTACTACGGCCCCATCGCCACAAGGATACTACCAGCAGAACACCAGACAGAATAACCACGAGGACAGTCACAAATTTTAGTGCTCTCAAGCACGTTAGAGGCACATTTTGTTGTTCCACTTTTATGAACCACAGTATTTTTATCACCTCATTTATAATTTAGTATTACGTGTCAGGTAAAAACTACTCAAATACACGCTCTTCATTTATATTTGAAAAAACCACCCTGATATTCCTCATCTTCTCTTACTCATCCTCCTGTAAGGTAATTAAGAATCTTACTTGCTATGGGAACGCCATTTGCTAACCAGCTTATATTAGGCTTTGGGTTGCCGTTAGCTCTGCAGATCAATGTCCCATCTTCTCCAGGAGACAAGACCAAGTTTCTGGGTGCTGTTATCCAGTATGGGGCAGCTGGGGTTAGGAAGAGAAACACAGCAACTGGTTTCCAAAATTATGTACAGAAAATCATAAGGCACAGTCATGGTAACCAGAAGATAATTCAAACAAGGTATGTATAGATATAGACTTACACTTACACTGTTAAGTTTAAAAAAACAAAAACAAAAAAGTGATATTCAATGATTAACTGGTAGATTATACTTTGGCTAAACTGAGCTATTGGCTACCTGCTGCATTAAAATTCTGAGATAAGCAATAAGAGGGTCTTTGTTTCATTCAGGGTTGCCTGCTTTGAATCTAATTTGCCTTTCCTAAAGAAAGCAAAATTTATCTGAGTATGGCATCTGCAGAGACTAGAGTGGTCTTTTGATTAATTTCAGAGATATCCATGCTTACAGTAGTTAGGCTGTTAGAAATTAATTTAGGTTTGATTACATAAAAATATTTCATGTCAAGGGTGATATTTAGAAATGGCAAAATCCTTGGTCTTGCTGAATTCAATGGGTGATTGCAGTGGGGCCAGATGTTTACCTGAGCTGAAAACACAGAGAGATCAAAACAGATGGAACACTGTCCTTACCAAAAGATATTAATCTATGTCTCCATCTCTTTTACAGTAAGTAACCACAAATAGCATATGTTATCACATCTTGCGATTAAATTTCAGATTTTAGATTGATGGACAGATGCAAACAGAAAATTAAACTTCTGCTCTTAAAAAGGAGGTTGAATGTGATCATAAAATGATGCTGGTCTACAATAAAATAAATGGCTATTTAGCATGCAAAGTAAGCACTACAGTTGATTATTTCAAAGACTAATTAGCTGTCATTCCAGTTTTTTTGTTTCATGGTATTCAAAACATACTTATAATTCCTACTTGGACAAACATACTGTAAGAGTTTTTAGAACTAGTAAGACATCATCTTGGGTAAAAACATGAAGAAGATAGAAAACCAGAAATGTCAAATAAGAGAGAAAAAGGAAGAAGAATATAAGACCGTAAGACAAATAATAAAATAGAGCAGAGAAAGAATCTGGGCTATAAGAATGAGGAGCACAAAAGATGGAGAAAATGAGAAGGAGATGGGGAGGAAGATATAAAAACAGGGAAAGAAGCACTCTAATGACAGCTAATCAAAAGATCTAAAATAAATGTAGCACTGGTAAAAGCTAAGAAATTATTTTACTATTGTTACAGCAAGGTCTCAATTTAGCCTGTTGCTTTATAAAATAATGTATTAAAAAAAAAGAAAAAGAGATTAGAGATAGTAAAGTCCTTCCAGTGGTAGAATTCAGTCAGTTTAAAGATCATTTCCTCAGGGTTTTTTTTACCATTATCATTCATCCTTTCAGTTATATTTTATCCTAGAACGCTTACTTCAATCTTGCATTCCGGACACTGACAATATTACATTAAGCATTATTTCAGTATTACCTTTCACAGTCACTGAAATGACATGTTGAGCAGAACCTAATATATTTCTTGCTATACATTTGTAGTTCCCAGAGTCAGCTTCAGAAACATCTATAATCTTGAGAGTTTTCTTGAAGTTTTCAAAAAATGTTCTGTTGGCTGGCAATTCCCCACCCTCTTTAAACCAGCGGATTACCGGTGTGGGTCTGGAGAAGCAAAAGCACAGATCAAATTTAGGGACTGGAGAAAAGGAAGATAAGAGTCCAATACATTAATTTTTTGAACATATATTTTAAAAATAATTATTTTAAGAGCCTTTACCCAAATTTTGGGGCATGTCCAGCAAATGTGCAAAATATGCCAGCATTTGTCTCTAGGAAATGACAAGCCTCACTAACACTGTCAATGGCCATCTGTTCGTAGGCTTAATAATTACAGAATACATTTGTCTGCTGATTAATCTAAAACCCCTGATGGTTAAGAAACGAATACAAGTGTATTTCAAATCTTGTTGCAGTTATACTATTAAATTGATGCTCATGGTGCTTTAAAAGGTAGCTTCTAGATAATGACGAGTTTATAATTGTCCTTCATTTGAGCAATATCCTAATGCTTCATGAACATCATAAATTTTACAGCAGAGCTGTAAGGAGACAGAAATATTTCCTACGAGAAATCAAGGAAAAAAGTCAGTGCTGAGTCAAGTATAGCTACTTGTCACTGCACCATGTCTAAATCTTGGCTATGCCCCATGTTGTCCACTGAAGTTGAAAGTTGTCCAAACACATGGAGATATACTTTTAATACTACAAGAAATTACAGGGTGTTGCTTACTGAGTAGAATGTCCTGTCTCAAATAGTAATGACTCAAGGCAAATATTCCCTTAGCAGTCTAATATTTTATAATAGAGACACCTAGCAAAGTTGACTTTTAATTATAGTATCAGTAATTAGGAATAGTTGTTTTAAACAAAATCTGAATCTGGCCCTTTGTGGACAACTATGTAAGCTTCCCTCATTGAATTATTTTTTTAAAAAATTACATGACGGCTAAAGACACAAAGCCATATAATGTATAATATTCTATTTCCCCCCCCCCGTTTTTATCCAGCCGTTTTACTGGAGTTTGGATCACTGAATACTTTTATTGCAGGGTTGTCAAAAAGCATGTAACTATATTGCAGATGAAGAATTACCCGAGCTGCTGCTACTCCCACTCATAGGTGTGGTTTTGCTAGTGGTGCTGATGCAAAGACACCTGAGCAGACCACAGCTAAGACAGAAACACTGCACTGATGTTTGTATCAAGCTGTGTCAAGCTGTGCACGAGCGTGCCCTATGGAGCTTATGCAAGTGAATGCATATGCATGATGCTGTGCTGCATTATTTGCAGTTACTGGCTTTCCTCATGGCTACCTCAGAGCACTCTGCATTATATGCTTTTGTGCGCTGTCAACACATTTACAGTTCCTGAAATAGATACTAAAAATTTTCCACTTCTGCACTAACCAATCCATCCAACCTAAATGATTCTATGATTCTGTGATTTCATCCTGCGAACAAAATTGATTTAATATCAAACTAGTTCATGAACTTAAATTGCTTTTTAGTCATTTTCTACTTGCACAATAGCCAGCAGAAGCAAACTTGCATTACCTCAAAGAAACAAGTACCAATTAAACTCAATTACAATGAGAAATTGGATGTAAGGAGCTGAAGGTATGTTCTAACAAATCGCACCTAGCTGATCTACTAAGTAATTATAAGCATATGTGAGCAGCTTTTTCAGATTAGACCAGCAGATTCTTATCTGTTTTTATGTAATTTGAGAGACTAATTGTAAATTTAGGAAAAAAACAGAGGCTTGATTCCTGAGTGCAATTCTGCAGATGTGTGTCCAAGGCTACCCTATGGCATTTCTTGCTTGTGTCCTTTAAAAAAACAACGGTACAACCTGAATCCTGTGCACAGGGTTTGGGGATATGAGAAGGCAGAGGCCATAATATTTATGTTCATAGTCAGTTTTAAAATCTACTGATGCCCAAGTAAATGGTGGACTTCCTTAAAAGAGCTCTTTCCGTTTCACATTTCTGTTTCTTTGAAATACCTAAGCTTATACAGTGGTAACATTTTAAGCATCTCTGAAATGTTTCCCTCTGTCTCTGTATTTTTATTTAGAAAAACACTGTCTAAAAAGTAACTCACAATCCTGCTGCAATGCACTCCAACAAAAGCACATTTCCTCTGAGTTCCACTTTGGTACTTGTGCTACCTGTCGGTGTTAGAAGAATTGGTTGCCTCTCTGTAACTGGCTTGGCTGGAACAAGAAAAAAAAAAATTAATTTCTAAATTTTATTTTAATATTTATTTATTTTAATATTGATCAAATGCATACATCCATTCTCACATTGTGGACAGAGATTTTGCTGCACATTGGCCATTTAATTAAAAATCATTGTGTTACACAACTACACAGTTCAACAAGTTAGGTTTTTGACAGACATAACATTGTATCTCAACATGTTAAATGCTATAATTTTGAACGTATACATGAAAAATGTTATTATTAAGGACAGGAGCACTTGATACATAGTTTTTACATAGGCAACTATGCAGCCTGATGGATGGATGCTGAGCCTTAATCCTAAGCAGAGTTCAGCAGAACTATTACAGGGAGTAAGAGGTCACTAATGTGAGTCACAGTGCAAGACTGAAAGCTACCAAAAATTTCTGTGCTTCCATCAAAACAGAAATAAAGCAAGGTTGTTGTATTGAGAAATATAAACCAAGGGAATAAAAGGTACACTCCACTTTGCAATATGCTTTGTTCAGTATTTTCTAGACAACGTGAGGCGTCTTTTCAGAAGCTGAGCCTTGTATTCTCCTCTTACTACATATTTAACTTTAATTCAAGCTGTTCCCCAGTCTGGTAATAAAGAACCATTGATTAACGCACAAGAAATAACCACAGTAAACAGACAGCTAAAAATATAGGACTCATTTCTGACATTATGCTCTGTTGGCTTATGAAGTATTATGGTATTTCATGCGCCTTCATGGAAGTCAGAATAAGAGGGCTTTCCGTAATAATTGAGTGCTTTCTGTAAATACTTTAATGTTCTTTTATAGCAATTTTAAAATATAGGATTAAATTGCTCTAAAGTGCAGTAGCAGTCTGAATCATTACAGTAAATTATTGTATTTTTTTAAAATGTGAGCAGAAACGTAATAAACTCTTGTTTATCGGAGTACGGGATTTACTGGTAGATTAACATAAGTAGAACACTTAATTTTAACACAGTATGTGCTATGAATTCCTTAAAAACTAGTACACGAACAACTTAAAGTTGGGAGGAAGGGCCAGTCTAGAATGAACAATGCAGCTGATAGTCACAGGCAATAACTAATCTACTGAGTTTTGGCACTGCTAAGGACCGCCGACTCCTTTTGCAAGACTACGAAAATTCAGAAGAATTACCTCCTGTATTTCTGAGTTGTGAGCCAACCGAATGGTGTTTTCCTCACTAAATGCAGCTAATATATCATTCTGTGTTCAGATACGTATTTCTTGTTTGTTCCTGAATGACATCTTATTTTTACGCAGTGAATTAAAATATTCTGTGCCCATTTTATTTTAGATTCCCATAAGTTATGGTTTAATATGTACAAAGCCTCATTTGACAAGGAAAAAGACAAAAATAAAAGAAATATCATGTCTTTTCTATCTATCTCACACGCTATCAAGTGGAGAGTCTAGAATCTCAAGTGTTACGGTCTCAATGTTGCTCCAAAGTCAGCCTCGCTAAACATCCATATGCCTGTTCGGGAGGATTTAATTCACAATATACAAAAGACCATTCAACATAGATTAATGTAAAGATCAGCTTAAACACCAGACAAACAAAACTCATCTTTCCCCTACAAAGTTATTTATACGGATAGTATTAAAATGTTTAGACTTTACATTCATGAAATATGTTAAAAATGAATGGTACATTCAGTAAATTATTAAATGTGAAGTGCATCTGTTAAATGCTTAATTGTTGTTATTTTTTATGCAGCATGTGATATTGAGTAGTCCTAGTGATAATGAACATATCAAACTAATAGTTAAATTAGAGGAAAAATGTAAAAAAGCAACACAGTATAGAAGCAATCAAATAGACAATTTTTAAAATCTGCTCCAGTGTGAAAGGACTCATTTATTATAGGAGTTTGTATTTTTTATGAGCCATATGTTACAATAACATTGAAACATTAAATATTTGAGAGGATAACACTGTGCAGTCCCTTTCTAAAGCATGTATTATCACCAGCACTAATAGAAACCTTTATTAGAAACTGAAAAGGGAGCAAAAGGTTAAGTAGCCACGGAGGTGAAGTTAGTTAACTAAATGCTACTGTGAAACAGGGAGTATCAGTGGGGACCAGTGTAACTCACCACCATAAATATCAGTGTCACTCAAATTAGCAGCTATAGTGTCATTCAATGAATCCACTGAAATAAACAGAATATCATGAAGAATGCATACAAGAGGGATAAATCAAAGTACTGGGAATCAAAAGGTGATGATATGGCCGCGGTGAGTTAATCAAATGATTGATTAATTTGTTTCAATAGTTACAATAATCATAATAACTTGATATTCTTGGACATGAAAACCATTTGAGAACTATTATTTTTTACTCTGTATTTTTTCAGTATTTCAAATCTTACAAAACATTTTTTCAGAAGACAAAGCCTGATAAATGGAAAAAATGACAGCTTTTAAAATGAATTATATGTCAGAAACACTGGAGATTACATTTTAAGTTTATACAGTAACGTAATTTCTTATTCAGAATTAAAATGACAAAATTCCCTAGCATAACACTACTTAACTTTGGCAAATAACTTGAGAATTCTGGATAAATACTATGTAAGTATGTAATTAGGTAATGCAATACCTACTTGAAAAGACTTTTACAGAAATGGGTTGTTTCTGCTGTATAGTTTGTGTATGATTAAATCTTGCATAGCAGATATAGTCCTCCCGGGTATCTTCTGGTTGTACATTAGAAAAATAAAGGTCTCCATTTAGACCTTGGGAAACTCTTTCACTTTGAGGCAGCCTTTGGAAAGCTACGGGAAAACAAGAACACATTTATCTCAGTTATAATACATACTCCATTATTATGATCTGCAGACTCCAGATTTGTTCGATTACGCTGTCTGTGGGTTTGTAAATATATAGACCTTTCTAAGTTTCCTCTCAAGCTCCCTTGTCTTCCCACTCTTCCCCAGTGTGTTAGTCTACAACTCACATTAAGATCTCCAGCTGCTTTTGGCTTCATGCTTTTGGGCTGCATGTCTGCTTTTTCTTCGTTTCTACGGAAATGGAAATTCTCTGAATTTTAACTTAGAGGTAAACTCCAACATCTGTGGTCTTGGTAAGCAATGACCAACTATGTAAAAAGTAAAACTAATTCTGCATAAAAAACAAACTCACCATTATCCATCCAAAATATTATAGGTGGTGGTAAGCCAACAGGAGGTCTGCAGTGTAATACTAGTGAATCACCTTCTCGAACCTGATTTGGTTCTAGTTTTTCTTTCGTCCACAAAGGGGATCCTATAGAAAGTAATTTTAACACACATACAAACTATGGATTGACAAAAATTCCAGAATTTAAGGAAGAAATGCACATAATATTCCAGAAAAACAGAACTACATGCTTTAGAATGTTAAGCCCTATCATATTTACTAAAGATTTAATTTTTGTTCTTTTTTATGTTTTCTTGGGAGAAAAATAGGTTTTCTTTAAATCATTTTTTACAGCAATGATTTGCTGAAAGTGTAATCAACTGATTCAAATTATTTTGGCTGCTCACCAAACATTCTATAACAGTATCTTGGAAAGTTTTAACTACAAAAAAAAAAAGTGATTCACTAAATTAGGAAAAAAGGTAGACCTTCCTGAAACAGTATTATACACACACAGTTTTATTAAACCATGTGAGAACAGCACATTTTAAGCTGAGAAGCTTGAAAAACTGATCTGAGATAAAAATCACCTAAAAAGCTGTAGAAACAGTCTACCATTAATCAAAATTCTTTAGCTTTATCTTCTTTTTGGTCCCAATCTTTTCTGTATTAAAGCTATTATAAAAACTATGGAATACATGCATCAGAAAGAGAATAAAAATTGTCCTCATCAATGATGTGCATTAAGGATTTAAACATTTTATTCTAAATGTAGCGTCATATATACAACCCAATTTTAAACATGATAGGTCATCCAGACGTACCAAAAAAATCAGGAAAGCATTTTGGTTATTAAATTTTCTAAGGAACGTTGGAGAGAACATGCAATACATTATTAAATCTGAATATCAGAAACTATACAATACCTTCTAACATGATCACAATAATGACTAAATTTTTAAGACAGGAAAAACAAAAGCGAAACATTCATAAGAAAATAAACAAACCAAAGTGTTTCACATTTTATGAGCATTAAGAGCTTCACTTACTAGAAGGCCTTATAACAATATTGTTGGAAATGGCTGCTCCTCGTTCATTCCTTGCTGTACATTGGTATACTCCTTCGTATGCTTCTGCCTTCCCACCATTCATAATATTTATGACAAGGGTCCCTGAATTTGGTTTCATTGTTATCTGTGCATCTTTATCTATATCAAAATGAGTTCCATTGCGTGTCCAGGAGAAGCTAAAATAATAAGAACAAAAAGAAAAGTTTCTTATTCAGTTGCCTTTTGTAGATTGTATGGAGAAAAGAAGAAAAAAGTAATTTTCAATAATACATGGTATTTTTTCTTTAGCAGATAAGTAAGACTTCTTCCCAAACTAAATTAACTAATAAAGTAATAGAGTACTTTTTAATATAAGAAATCTGGCAATTACTTTAAGATAAAAGGCTTGGCTGAACTTGTTAACAGGAGCCATTTCAAAGTCAATATTTAAAAAAAAATTACATTAAAATATTCTGAAGTTAATTGTATATGGAAAAGAACTGATTTTCTTTCTACTGAAGATGATACAGTAACATCTGTGAGAACTGATATTGCTAAAGCTGCATTAGCATTTCCATTATAAAACCTATTGTTGAAAGGGTTTATAAACCTGCCTTCAAAAACTTGCTCTGGGCTGAAATGTGTCATCTCAGGTCCCAGCAGGAGACCATTTCTTTTAATTGCTTTGGCCATTTTAAAGTTATGCAAGTGAATTAAAGACTGTGTGGTGAGTTTGATTTCTTTTCACTACTCTAATGCAAACAACCACGATTCTTTAAATGAAATTTTGCAGTCTGATAGCCCATAATTAATCCAGTAAATTCACACTGCTGTTACTCAAAGCAAAAGATGTTTTGAAAAGTAGTCACTAAAAATGAAGACTATTAGAACTTACAAAAAAAAGTAAAAAAGCAGAGATTCACAGTCTGCGACTTATACTACTGTAAACACCAATTTCTTACTTATGCTTTGTTAATGGCCAAAAGTATAATTACAGAGAGCTAGACCGACACCTGTGAAGTGCTGAGCACTCACAGGTTCAAATGTTGTGAACCACAGTTTTCCCACTTGTTACATTTCAGATTCATAATCTTAAACACAAACACTACACATACTTACTGTTTAGAATGCTTCCTAAAAGTATAAACATAAACGGTAGTAGAGAAGCTCAAATTTTAAGTGACTCAAATTGTGCGCTGACCTTCTGCAGTAGGAGGGCAAGATTGGACACACTATTTGCACTTTGTGATGGGGGAGAGCAGAAGACTTGGACCTGACCAGCAGCACTTCACCACACTGCAGTGTTTTTGGGAGGATGAGTGTGCACAGTGAACCAACAGTGAACCTGTTCCTTATGACCTTGCGCGTGAAGCTGCAGAACGTGGGGTTCCTGTAATCCTCTGCTACCAATAACACTGAAGGATACAGGGAACTGTGATGTAGCTTCAAATGACAGGTGACAAATGTGGTACAAAACACTGACTTTAAGATACATGAAAGTCAGAATCTTTGCTGCTCAAGCTATAGGTAGCAGCACATCCACAAACCTTAATGCCAGCTGCTCTCACCAATAAGAAGTTACCCTGTCTTAACAAAAAATTCACACTCCGGGCTGAGAAAGTTCATCTTCAACTTCAGAGCTTTGAAGCAGCTCAAGTTCCAATATGCATTTGCAGGTCATCAAGACTGATGGACCAGACCAATTATTGAAATAAATTATTTGGACATAATATCTTTAAAAAAAAGCAAACCTAAGCACAAGCTTATAAAACTCATTAGAAAATTCTGCATTTAAATCCTGTCACTTCCACTGTTAGCAGGGAAACAAAGTGAGACAAGGTTTGATGCGAAAGGTGAGGCTGTACAGCAGAGAGACCTGGCACATGACTCCGATATGTCAGGCTCACGGACAGTGCTCTTAGTCTCTCAGATAAATCCAACCCAAAAAAGGCCTTCAAGAGAAACATCTGCAGAAGCAGTACAGTTGTCCCAAAGCCCACAATAATCATCCGATCCTCCAGGTCAACACCCCAAACCTTGAGAATGGCATTGAGCCTGCTAAATTAAAATGCTGGTAAACACAGCAGCTTTATGGCAGTCCTACCATTAACAGCCCACTAGAAGGGGTGACAGTATCGCAGATAATCTCCATCTTCTCCATTCTGATGCCCAGGATGATAATGACCATGATCCCAAGGCAACCAGAAGGAATAACGTAGAAGAAACCCTGGTTATTCAGAGGAAGTACATTTAATGAGCTCTGTGTGTGTCTGAATGAGCAATTATAGAGTGACCTTGCAAGTAAGTTGTAGATAACACTACTGAGAACAGAGAGATGCACATTTCTCTTTATAGTCTCTGAAACCAGAAGCAGTTACTAGCAATGCCAGAATGCATCACAACTACTGCTGTTTCCAGTGTGGGTACTCAGTATCTTGAAATGAGTAGTTTTCAAATATTTCAAGATACTGAAACAGGGCCTTAAAATGGAAGATGATCGGGAATCTGATCCATACACAGGGTTACCATTTCTGCCAAATCCAAAACTTAGGGCTATTAAATACACTTTGTAAATCAAGGCTACTGATCTTTAAAACTGATACACATTACATAACTCCTGACAAAATGCTTATGTATTTCAAGAGGAGCCTCATAAAACGGAATGATTTACAAAAGATTAAATTTGAATTTATTAGTGTTATTTTGAATTTATTCAATACCCATTCTTCTTAGACACGATGCCTAAATCTGGAATGTGATCCAGTTCATAGTGTGGTGTGCCTCTTAGTGCTTTCCATGGGCATTTAACTATCTGCTCCTGTAATAATTGAGTATTATTCTATTGCTAGAACTTTAAGGAGGAAAAAAAACCCTACAGTTACTTGTTGACTATAGAAAAGTTTAAACGTCAAGGATGAGACGAGTCAAATTTATGCCACTATCTGGTAGCTATTTAAATTACAAAGGTAGGAGTGCGTGCATGTTTCTGCCTGTGCAAGCACACACATATGCATATACTTGTTAGTTTACAAAAGTTAACGTTATTTTCTCCTAGTTTTCCTATGTTGTTAGGTCAACAAAAGCAAAACAAAATGCTACTAACCTAGGAGGTGGCTTTCCTTTTGCTTCACACTGTATTACAATATTCTCTCGGGGGTCAACAATGTAATCTTTTGGAGATTGCTGAGTTATCGTAGGAGGTTGCGACACTTCATTATGGAATATAAGAAACAGAGAGGAATTTAACAATATTTTCAAAGTATAGTGAGACAGTTTTGTAAGCAGAGAAAGCAGAACTGCAATTAGCAACCAAATCATCGACAGAAGAGTGGGATTAAAGTATCCTTTGTATTAGCAGGCTGAAACCCTCTTACTCTTGTAAATTAGTGTAGCTACACTAACTTCCAACTGAGCTATGCCGATTTACAGCAGATGAAGGTCTTGACCAAAAAGTTTCATGGATATCATATCTATACATCAGATTTCAACAGATTTTCACAAAACCGAAGGACACTTTGTATTTCTAAACATTTTATGTATTTCCAAATTCTCTATGTGTTTTCACACATTGATGTGCTCAACATATTGAATTAATCTACAAAGCATGCTTTTAGGAGCTACTTTTCAGGAGTAAAAAATGTGTTAGAAGTAAAAGACTGTAAAAAATGACAAAAATAGTAACTAGTTTCCAAATAGAGGAAACATGTAGGAAAAGTCTAGTACTAATTATCCTTAAAAAACCCAACAAAAATATAGTCAATCTTGTGAATTGCCCCAGGAGAAACAGACATTTAACATTTATCATTTATCAAGTACTCTAGAATGAGCAGCACAAAACAGAATTTAAGTAGTTGGTGCCTACCTATTTAAAGTAGTTTATAATCTGTTACCATTATCTATGCCCATTTTTGCATTCAAAAAATCCTGTTTATGATATTAAGATAGTGAGAAAGGTGTCTTCTTCAACATAGTTCATCTGTTTATAGTTTAGGGCCACCTAAAGGAACCAGTTTAATAACATGTCTGTGAACATCCCTGTCTAAATGTCGTAAATTGTTTGTCCAGCAATACACTTTGCTAGTACTTTGGGGTCATTTCTAGCCACTTTAGCAAAATATTTCAATCATTAGAGTTAGCTGTGTTCTCATGCCTCACTCTAGCCAGTTAAAATTGTAAAACTTGGATTTTTATTTTAAGTCTTCCCTACCATTATACATTAAGTACTCTTGCACAGAAAGAGATAGCCAACTGTAAAGCCCTACCCACAAAAAATAGCCAGGAAAAAAAATCAGATCACGAAATCATAATGAGATATAGCAGCTAAGCAGAACAGAACAGGCCATGCAGAGCTGGGTTTTGCTCCTCTTCCTCACTGCAGAGAGGAGTGCTTAAAAGAGGAAGGCGACATTTTTACAGGATAATGACTTTTTGTGTCTTTCTTTAGAGAGGCACTTTGAAGACAGTCCTTTTCCCTCTCAGAAGCAGTTCTCGGGGTCAGTACACATCAGATGCTTACTTGGGAAAAGCAAGCACACTCTGAAAAGGGACATGATATGAACACTGCCCAACACACAGGATATTCCATCTGATGCACACTGAAGACCTGAAGTCTCCACTCCTGTGCTATGCACTGCACTTAAAACTTATTAAATTAACCATGACACTAGAGCTGAGTTAGGAGATCCCATAAAAGATTAGCTCTACTTAAATAACTGTATCCACTGTTTTTTAAGGATATAAAAGTATCTGCAATTCGGACATGTAAAATAATATATAAGTACATATATTCCAATGAATTTATTTCTTATCAAATATATTTACTCCTGAAAGTAGTAGTAAAACATTGCTCATGCTTATATTGAGTAAGGATTTTAATGTTCAGATGGCACACAATCAAAAATCACACAATTAATTTGTTCAAAATATCAGAACACTGATCTACGTACAGTAGTATTTTCTGAACACTGCATGCACAAAACATCTAGCTACAGCAAACCAAATTATCAACAAGATGTCAGAATCACATATTTTTGGACTGCAAATTCAGTTCACAACACAATCAGTATTAATTTTCAGCAGCACACAGCCTAGTTTTTGTGGACAGGAACTTACATTCTTCTAGAAGTTTTGCTTTTATTCCCCCATCAGAATCAGCAGTTGAATAGACAAATGGAGATTAAAGAGAAACATTTGTTAGTTAAAAGAAAATTAGCATTTTGAGAGGGAAGATAAGTATCTCTGACACGTACATTGGTCACCATTAAAAAGAAAACATTTAAAACATTTAGCACTGTAACCCATGCAGCTGATGCCTGGAATTCCAGCCACAATTTCCCTTGTGTCAGATATTACTACACTTATCTCAAAGCTCATGGTATGAGAAACTTTTCTGAAGTGTTGACTTTTTAAGGGCAACCATGGTATGTGATTTTGGCCTTGCAAGGACACAAAACACTGATACTGAGGAGACAGTAAATCAGAATTAATGCAGTGCATTGCCCTCATGCTGCAGTCAAAATCAATCCACCCATATGATCATATGGAAGAGCTAAGAGAATGCTTCAGGCTAAAGTTACTCTAATAAAGACGAAAGCACCTAATTCTACTCAACAGACTTGCAATCCCTTTTGGTTTGAAAAATAACTAAACAAAAAAATCATCTTAGTTGTCACATCTTTATTGCTTCCTTCAAATATTTTGCATACATGTCTCCTCATCAAGAATGTTTTTAGAGTAAGTCACTGCTTTTGGTCAGCTACATTGTCAGTTGTGCCCGTACTTGAGACCCTGACGCCCTGACGAGCATAGGAACTGCTAACCTGGATGAAACTTAAAGGTTCAACTAATCAAGTATGTTCTCACCACCAGGGTATGTGGTGGGTATGTAGGGAAGACCTACAGAAAATCTAAGTCCTTCCCTTGTGGTGCTCTCCCAAAGCCCATTCTAACCATTATTTATGAAAGCAATAACATCATTACAGATGTAATTTTGGTTAATATGATTTTTGGATAAAAATCCAAGTATGTGACTTTATCAGACCTAACAAAGTTATTAAACATTATGTAGTAGGGAACAAGTTAATACAGAGTTAATGTGATACATCTAAAAGGGCTACTAATTTTTGTCTATTGATGCATTTCTAGTTAATTTAACCTGAACTGTTGCTCTATACAAAAGATATTAGAGTGGTGCACAATTTACATTAGTTTCTAAACTACAGGATGGGTTTAAAACACTATTTCTAGCCTGCAAAAATATTTAGGGAGAAAACACTATTTCTAGCCCGCAAAAATATTTAGGGAGAAAAATTAAGTTTAGAAAATAAGACATTCATTCATCAAACTTTTAAAGCCCTCTTTAAGCCACGGTTTTTTGCTCTAAAGGCATTCACAGCACAAGAAATCTGATGTGATTCAGATATATTGATCTTGTTACAGAAATACAGGTCATTGGATTGAGAGGCTTGTAAATATGCATGGGGATAAAAACATCAAAGCAGTTGCAATTCATGTCAATGATTATTAAAGAAAAACATGCATTTATGGAAGGTAGGAAGGTATCAAAAACATGGGGGTAAGGAAAGCCATGCGGATTAGAAGCATAGGCAAATTTACTAATGTATTAATCCATCAATTTAAGCCCCAATGTTCTCTTCTCTGGTAATTAGTTTAACAAATGAATATGTGAGTGCAAGATGGTTCACTGAATTCTGAAAATGTGGTCATGCTTATCTTAAGAAGAAAATAACAACCTGAAGCATGAATAAATTCATAAAATTAGCTATTAGGGCTACAAAACACAGCAGCTACCATTGCTTCCTTTTCAGCATGGAGAGCTACCTTCAAGGTTCCCCACTAACAGAGTCTTATATTAGACAAGAATTTCAGATCTTGGGATTTCCCCTCTTCTAGATGTTTCCTCACTGATTAATGCTAGAGTTCCCTGCTCAGTACACATGCTTTTAACTTAAAGTTAGGTATTTAACTGGTTTCAGGCACTCCTTCGGAAATCTAAGAGCCAGACTTACTCTTCTGCATCAGAAGAGTACTGAAAAATCCCAGTGTCTGAGTTTTAGGTATTTGAATCTTTTACTACATCTCATATCAGCTCCTGGAAACCTTTTATATGAAGACAAGGGTAATTGTTTACAGCAACTAGGAATTGTCCTGGGGTTTTCAACAAATTGTCAATACGATCTTAATTTCACAAATAATTAGCATTTAACTGGGCTTCTCTGCCCTTCTTCATTTTCATCAAATAAAATGTTCAATAAAGGCACACCGAAGTATGAGTATTCGTGAGAATCCTATGTTAACCTTTCTCAAGTGAACAATGTAAGTCATTTTAATCTGCACAGTTTTTTAAAATCTTCAGTAAATTAGTGTAAATATTCATAAACACAATGTCCTGACTGAAGTGAGCAAACACACTCCATGTTTAGCTCCATGTTGGAGTTACCTTCATCTTCCTATACAGAAATTATTTAACTAATCTTCCACTATTCTGCACTTATTTAGCAGGTTAATACTTACAGTCAAGAGGTACATCCAATGCAGAAATCATTTGGCACAGAAAGAGGACCAAGGAAGCTTTGCTTGCAGATATGCTCTTCTTCTTCATCATGATTTTAGGCTGTATTGAGTAAATCACACTGAGGAATGAAGTTCAACTTCATCAGACTAGGTAGCTTGGAATAGTTATGTAAATATAGACAAGAAACCTAGTAAATAAAAATAAGAGAATAACAATATGCAGATACTATGGAGAATTGAATGATCACATCTTAAGAGTATTATGTAATAACAGAAGTCTACATATTATATCCAGGGATAATAGTTACACCATGTGCTCTAATGAAATCCAAGCAAAGATCCAGAAGTTCTTAGGACACCTAGATCGTAACACTTTCCTAAGGAAGCTAGTGAACAACTCCTATGACCTTTTTGAACGGAAATACAAATGCTTTTCCTGAGAAGGATAAAGCATCAGTCCAGCTAGTTAAAAACCAGTATATACTAAAGATAATAGTCCTCTGAAGTAGATTTAGGAGATTAAAGCTCTGAATGGCAACCTAGTCCCTCTTTCAAACATCCTGCACAATTCTGGAAATAGTTATTTTAGGCATCTACCCCAAAGAAAACATGTCTGGCCACAAATTTGCTAAGTAAACTGTGGGATCTTCCTACAGCTTTGAGTTAGGTGTCTTAGCTTCTCCCTGCTTTGGAACTCTCTCTCATAGACAGCTGTAGACTGAATGCAGAAGACTTCATGGATTGCCACGCTGAGGTGCTACACCTCAGTTCCTTATGTACTGTAACAACAGTTCCTTATGTACTATATACGAACCTAGGCTCCTATTCCAGGACTTCTGATACCACCCAAAATATGTAACATCAAAATACTTTGCCATTTCTAGCCTGAACACCCCAAGTCTAATTAACTGGCAGCGCACTATCAGACTCACTTCTCCTCCTTTCTGTGTGAAGAGGTGGCAGAAATGAAACCTAAGAGAAATCTGTTCTTTGAAATGTACTGGGTTTTCCCCCTCAATCAAGCATGAGAGATCATATTAACCACGGCAGAATGATTCTGGCTTACTCCTTATTTTTACTGCATTCAGGACCAAGCTCTAACTTAGAAGAATGTTGAAGGAGTGAAAACTAGCTGCCTGCAAACGCCATCATCATCACCGGTGACCTACAAAGAGCTATATGAATACAGCCTTAGAAATCCAAATGGTGCATTCTCAGTAAATGGACATCAGCTGAGAAAGTACTTCCCAGATGCCAGATCGATCAGAAAGTTCACCGTGATCGGCATTAATTTAGCTTGAAGAGAGCACTTCCTCAGCTATGCCTACAGATGTGAAACACAATGCTATCAAGTCCACAAGGAGTTAAAGCTGCAAAGAAGCAGCTGCCTTACAAATGTTAAATAAAGAGATATTCGGCTTCCTGAAGTATGCTAAGAATTTCCCTCAATCTTCAGGTTACAGAAGAAATGATGTCTCTTAATTGCTGCTGTAAATGGTCTTTCTCTTTGTATAGTCTTCCGAGCAGAGACTGGAATCGGAAACCAGAACTGAGGTGTAGAGCTCAACCTCTCATCCTAACCTAGCACATCAAACTCCCTGATTTTTACTGTCACTATCTGTAACACAAATGTTTGTTTCAAAATCAAAATATCCCAGCAGATTGAACTCCTAGAGACGTACTGCTCCTTGGAGTTCTTGGGAACTGCTGACTGGGGCACCACGTGAGAGGGCAAATTGCTTATTCACATTCAAAACTATCTACAGTACTGGACAGCATAACGGAACAATTAAGTGTTTGTCACGGCGTATTAGAAAGATTACAAAACTCATCAGAAGAGGGAATACCTGAGTTCTAGCCTTTGCGTATTTATTTATACAAACTGGAGCTGCAGAAGCAGACAAGGTGGCAAGCCTAACTCCAAAATGCCCAGAAAGTGGTTAAGGCATACAGCAGGGAAGCATGACAAGTACTCAAACTTTCCTAGAAAAATAAACTGAATTTTCCTACATTTTAAATGATCACCCTAAAGCGCTGGGGGTTTAGCTGGGGAAGGGCAGAACTGTTTCTTCCATCCCACTTTTTGGCACATATAGTTTCCTATGCTCCCGCTGCAGTGAGTAAGGGGAAGGAGAAAGGCTTCTCTTGAGAGAGCCTGAGAGCACTCCAGCATGTTTCCTGCGATGAAGTGCTCTCCAGAAGAGCTGATTTTGTTCCATCGACTACAGCTGTCTGCTCTTCTCCAGTTAAACTAGGTTCTCCCACACTGTTCTCCTGATCTTTATGTCATCTCCTCATTACAGCATCACTGCAATTAACAAGGTGCCCCCTCTGTACAATGTGTTTGACCCTGGATTTACAGGATGATCTTTGAAGCATTCTACAAGTGAACCTTGACTTTGTTTCTTCTCCAAGCAAAATTTCATTTCTCCTTACGAAACTCTGAGAACTTGATTATCCACTTTATTGTCTTGTTCTTTCATCGTGTAAAATGAGTATTGCAGTGATTTGAGAGTATTTTAAAATTAAATTGCATTCCCTTTGAACAAGTACAAATGAATACGCAAGCAATGGTGAATCAGGTATGTGCAATTAAAATGATTGTGAAAGTAATACCCTTGAGAAAATGCCTCACATTGTCTACCTCTGCTACTGCAACGTTCCAGTAGGATACCTATTGAGTCTACTGCTGGGATGTTTGGATATAATATGGGAATTCAACAAGCCGCGGGAATTATAAAGCTGAGCTTCACACTGACTTTGTCATTCTTCAGAGAGGCAAGTGCCCAAATGGTTTGTGATAGAACATATTTAACTGAAAATGATGTTAGGTTTGTCAGCACAACTGGGTGCTCTTGTTGAATATATTCAGGATTAAATCTGACATAATTTAGTATGAATATAACAGCTGCTGAGTAGAACTAAACATTGCTTTGACATAATACTTATCTGCTACAAAATAAGGCCAGGCCTCTAAGCGCAGATCAATGTAAAGGCTTCAATTTCAAAACTTGAAATATTTATACAGCAGATTGCCTTTTCCTCCAGATAATTTATTTAAGATCTCTCGTAACTCAGACATTTTGTCCTACCCTTTTCATAGGAAAACACATATATTTTGACAGCTGATTCAGGAGTACATTCACTGATTTGTACAAAATAAGATTCTCTACACCTACATACCTCTTATGTACATAACAAAACAACACTTGTTGTCTTCTGTGCTTCTTGCTGAGATGCCGATTGTGAGTAAAAACATGGACTAAAGGTTGAAGCTATGGTGTAGCAAACAGGAGTCAAGGTAAATATGACTGCATAAGCAAAGTATAATATTATTTTATCACAAAGCATAATATCAGATTTCAAAGGGAGGGCTTTTATGTATGACGAAAGAACCAGGATCAAGTGAGAGACATCCACTTTTTTTTTTCCCCCACTTTTTTAAAAAAAAGATATTACTACTTTTTAGAGATGAGCTACAGAAGGACACGACTGGAAGAATGAAAGCACCAGTGAGCCTATTGTAGAATATCTGGCAGGATCACAAAACACAGTTTGGTGCCAGTGATCTCTTCACTGTGACTCATGTCTGGACACTTTTGGTCATAAACAACAAAAACAGATACTTTGAAAACACTGAAGGAGCTAGGAAAAACAGTATGCATACGGAAGGGATCATTTGGGAGGCAGAATCCAAGATTCCTTTTCACACTATAAATGAAATGGGACAGCGACCTTCTCCTTGATTTTAAGAGTTTAAGAGCAAATGAATCATTTAGGTTGGAAAAGACCTCTAAGATCATCAAGTCCAACCATAAACCTAACACTGCCAAGTCCACCACTAACCATGTCCCTAAGTGCCATGTCTACACGTCTTTTAAATACCTCCAGGGATGGTGACTCAACCACTTCCCTGGGCAGCCTGTTCCAAGGCCTGACCACTCTTTCAGTAAAGAAATTTTTCCTGATGTCCAGTCTAAACCTCCCTTGGCGCAACTTGAGGCCATTTCCTCTCGTCCTATCACTTGCTAATTGGGAGAAGAGACTGACACATCATGGCTTACATCCTTTCCCTCTGAAGGCAGTCTCCATACTACCTATGCACTGTGCTACTCCCTGAATCATGTCCACGCATCGTCTGGGAGAATTACGGTTGGCTCAAAATCTGCAGAGAGAGTGTTAACAATTGAACAGTATACATGATTGCAGAACACACACAGTATGGTATATTTTACTATACTATACTAGTACTGAGTATTACTAATTTCTAATTGAGATATTAATACAGACAGACACGCTCTCAATGGACATTTCAAAGTTTAATCAATTAAGGGTCCAGTTGACAGAGGGAACATGTTTTTCCTCTAGCTATCTTCAACATAAGCACACAGCATCTTTGATTTCCTTGTAAGTGCAGCTGCAATATTTCTTTAATAGGAAGTAAGAGGTGTAAGGGAGAGTATTTACTGAAATTCAGCCTAGGGCAAAGTTAAAGAAAGTATTTTCTAAATGTAATATTGTTCCACAGAGTTTTGATGCATCAACTGATTATGCATTTCTACTCAATTACATTATTTAAAGTTATCAGGGAATACTAAATCGTCTTCTCTGACCTCCTGTTCACAAAGCTTAAGCCCATTGCTTTGTCTTTGGCTACATCGTATGTGCTATGGGGACATCCACGTAAAGAAGACTGGATCAAGAATAAACTATGCAGACAGAACGCCTGAATTCAGCAAAGAACTCCTCAACATTAGTTCAGATACTGCGGGTACTTATTAGTGTTATATGGTTATATGTACTTTAGCCATTTTTAAGCTTTTTTGACAAAGGCAGACAGCAAAGCTGTATGCTGCACTCTAAACGTTTTAGCAGTTCTATATACAGCAAAAAATCATCAGCCTGGTCACACTCTTGTACTCCCCCTACACAGAGCATTACTCTTTTTTGGCATTACTTCAGCGTTCACACTGGTCTCCTTCCTTCCCACCACCCAGACACAATTTCCAGTCTCTCTACTCTCATCCTCTGTTTTCCACTATGGGAAAACCACTTAGTCCTTGACACTCCTTTACTGACAATCCTATATTAAGACCTGCTAGCTGGTTTGTTATT